TGAGACAAAACAAGTGTCACTACTTTTTAATTAAAGCGACGACAAAATTATTTTTGTCACTATACACAAATTTTTAGATGATGAAACCATATATATTCGTCATGAAAAGGCCAAATTTTAATGACAATACAGATAATCAACAAAAATTTTATGATAAATATGACAAGTCAAGCGTCACCAAATCTCACAAAGGTACAATGACAATACTAATTATTGTCATAAATAGTAAACATTAAATGACAAACTAAAAAAATTGTCATATAGACCTAATATGACGTGGCTACAGCTGTGACACTCAAATTCGTCATCAAATATGTTTGGTGACGAAAATTCACAATTTTATGATAATTTTTTTTTGTCACATTTTATCGAAATTCTTGTAGTGTCGTGATTTCAGAATAATCTCATCGAGAATCTCGATATCGGCACATCCGTCGTTTGATCCACCGAGTGTTCCGTCTCCAATGCTCGCAAGCCACTCCGAGAAATGCTTGTACTCATTACCCTCACCAAGGCTTCGAAGCATCATATTCCGAATAAGTCTTAGAACGATACAATCCCGCCACAACTTGGATGAATTGATCGTGGCATTCACTATGTCACTTCGACTGCCTTTAGGAACAACAGGAAGTATCTGCCTAAAATCCCCACCAAATACAATGGATTTGCCGCTAAAAGGGAGATTTTTCCTTGATGGATCCACTACTTGCATTATGGCTCGCAAGGTGTTGTCGACCGCCTGAAAGCAATTCTTATTCATCATCGGGGCTTCATCCCAAATGATCAAGCGACATCGTATAATCAATTCCGCCAAAGGACTTTGCTGGCTAATGTCACATGTAGACCCTTCCGTTGGGTTTAATGAGATTTTGAATCGAGAATGCGCAGTGCGTCCGCCGGGCAGCAAAAGCGACGAGATACTGCTCGATGCAACGTTCAATACAATTTCACCCTTGGACCTCAAAGCAGACGACAACGCCCTCCAGACATACGTTTTACCAGTGTCCCCGTAGCCATAAACAAAGAATATGCGGCCGTGGTCGCGAGAAACTGACTTCATTATCGAGTCATAAACATTGGCCTGCTCATCGGTCATATTGTCGACCAACTCATGATTCTCAATAGCCAATGCACGATGATTATAATTCAACTCGTCCATCCCAAATCTGTTAGTGGATGCCTCGTTACGATTGAGATTAGGAAAAGGCATGGTGCTAAGTAAATGTTCAAAATAATTATGAGTAATAAGTGTGATATACTGTTTCTTAATAGTGATATTAAATTGAATACTTACTTCAAAATCGTGAAATACAAGCTTCAATGATCAAATCTTTGTCGGATCGTCACTTGAAGTCTTTTGGTAATGTCTGACCAGCTTCAACTCAATTCCCTTATCCATGTTTTCATTGAAGAAGAAGATTTTTTCAAAGTTTTGGGCCATTTCCGTTCTATTTCTAGAGCTGTGAAATTTCTGAAAAAGTAAAAGAGTTTGAATGAAAAGTTGGAGTTGTGCTGACAGATATTTATAATGTAAAGCCAATGAATGTTAAACAGGAAAATAAAAAAATTGTAATGACAAATAAACTCAGTGTATGCAAATCTGCCATCAGGACACATTTCTTGGGCATGATTTAAGATAATAGAATAAAGAAAAATTATAATAATAATAGTGTCTTGATTTCAGATGATACATTATTTATTATTTTATTTGCTTGATATGAGTGTATTATGTAAGTGTAAAGCCAGTGAATGTTAAACAGGAAATTAAAAAAAATTGTAATAACAAATAAAGTTAGTGTGTGCAAATCTGCTATCAGGACGCATTTCTTGGGCATGATTTAAGATAATAGAATAAAGAAAAATTATAATAAAAATAGTGTCTTGATTTCAGCTGATCATTATTTATTATTTTATTTTCTTGATATGAGTGTATTATGCAAGTGTTGCGTGTTTCTGCTAGAATTTTAATAAAACGAATAGGAATTTATGAATGACTTTAGCTATAGGAATTAAGAAAGTCAAATCATGCAGAGTTGCTAATCAGAATCCTACATTTAATAATTTTTGTTATTTTTTATTTGTGAAGCTAATATTTCATTTGTTAATTTATTTATTATTATTTTGCAGGTACAATAGCAAAAGCAGATTGGAGATTGATATTTTTTTCAATTTAAATATGTAATTTTGTAATTTATTTATTTTTTAATTATTTACAACTAAAATGATTATATATCAATGTTTACAAGTTTTATGTCAAATAATTCAAATAAAGAGTAGGATTTCAGATTGTAGTTTAATTCATAGTAAGAATATAATCGTTTTAATATCAAATAATAAAGATAAAGTGTAGGATTTTAGGTTGCAGTTTAATTCAAAGTAAGAATATAATCGTTTTAATATAAAATTATGATTTAGATGAAAAATACATGCAATTAATGATTAGGTGAAATAGCAAAAAAAATAATAATAAAAAAACAGGAAAAAATTATTAATACGTGTAACAGTTTTAGGCGGTATGTGAAAACTAATGAAATTGAATGCTGAATGTGTAACAGTTTTAGGCGGTATGTGAAAAACTAATGAAATTGAATGCTGAATGTGTAACAGTTTTAGGCGGTATGTGAAAACTAATAAAATTGGATGTTGAAAATTTTGGCGGGATAATAAAATTTATTGTCGTTGCTCCAAATTATATATATAGATTAGTTATTAGTTAGCAGGGTTAGTTTAGTTGTTATGAAATAAATAAATAGGTTAGTATATTAGTGCCGTGAGTTATTAATATTTAGTTAGATGTTTAGGAGTTTATGTATTTAAGGAAGTCTTAGGATATTAGGCATTTAATTGTCTAAGATAGATATTTAGTTGGGACCGTCTAGGGTCAGGTACCCCTTGTATCTACTTAACATCAGGTATCCCCCTATTTCACTATTAGATTGACTAAAAATTGAAAATCAACGATGGATTTAAGGGTACAAGGCAAAAAAGAATGTTGGTTGCCTTGTACTTTGTCTCGTACCCTTCGTAGTTGCTAAAAACCTATTATACCCCTACTGTATTTTAAAATTCAAAAATATTTGAGTTAATTATAATGAGATTTTTTTTATTTATTCTCAAGACCCATATACTTATCTAATTTATATATCAATCCTACAAATTCAAAACACAATTCATCACAACCTAAAAACATATCATTACAACTTTAATATTTAATTTACAAATTAAATACATATTCCCTCCCGCCATCCTCCTTCACGCCATTGTCGGAGCTCATTTATCTGAGAACTGGCGAGATTAGATTTGGAATCCTGATCGAACAGTCGCCCATCCTCCCTCAGGCCACTACCAGATCTCAGCATCTCTGCGGCTGATAGCCGGGGGCTTCTCGGCCTGGGGCCGTCGCCGGCTGGCTAAAAAAAAAAAAAAATTGGCGCTGGATTTGTGTTGGTATGACCCGCTCGAATCAAGACAAAAGAGATGTTTCGTTGTGTGGATGGATGCCGGAAACCCAAGCTTGGAGCTCGGTTCCACCGTTGTTAATGGCGGATTTCAAAAAAAAAAAAAATTGTCGACCTCGACAGGCAGTTTGGCCGGCCAAGGAAGGTCTCGGCAGGTTGCACGCGGGTCTAGGACTCTGAGGCTATCCGGAGGTCGCATGACCGAGACGTGTGGTTGACGAACAAACTGAAAACGAATTGGAATTGCAGGGACCTAAGTTCGATAATTTGATAAATGTTAGGGATTGTTTCACAATTTCATAAGTCTTAGTTTATTGCAATTTGACCCCTGGGGTAAATCTATAATTTATAATTAGTTTTTAAGTAAGGGTAGTTTAGTACTTACAATTTATTTTTTTTTTTTGATTTTTCAATTAAATAATTAAGCATTAGGACACATGACATCATTTCAAGGGGGTAGCTGATGTTAAGTAGGTACAAGCCAAAATACAAGGTTACCTGACGGTAGAATTACCTATTTAGTTTCCATTAGATTAGTATTTGATTTCTATTAGGACTAGTATAGGCTTAGTCTTTATTTTCTATAAATACCTATGTACTCATTGAATTTTATTCAAGGAATGAAGAATTAAAAAAATCGTTCGTAAGAAAAATATCGTGTGTTAGAATTCGTTGAGTTTTATCATACAACTTTGTATCGAAAAGGGCGTTTCACCGCATAGTTCGTCATAAACTCGAGTTTGGCAAGGATTCACGTCCGAGTTGTCTCACTTATAGCCAAGAAGGAGGTGATGAACATTCTTTGAAGCAACCTATCGCCGAGAAGGAAGCCGTGACAAGGAATTTCGAAGCAAACCAAGCATCAAGATACACAATCTTCATCACGCGCCTCTCGCCAAAGTGCAAAGCCAAGCCGGGGCTGATTAAGGCGGCCGCCTCGGAAACGCGGCAGCCTCTGGCAGTGGCGAGGCGATTTAACTCTCGTCCCAGTCACCTCTCGCTATGGCGTCACCATTTTAATCTATGGGTGGTAAAAAACTTCTGTTCAGAAAATAATCTCGTATCAAACATAATCAACATTCTTTTAATTTAGGCCTTCAATTTATCTGGAGTAATCTACTGAATTAAAGGCATAGTGAATGTTATTGGGATGGCTATGGAATCCATCCCTTGGTAGATAGTAAAGCTGGAGCATTATTATCCTTGCAAGGTTCTGATATGCGAATTGTCCTTAAACTGGGTTAAACCAATATTACCACGAACGACCTTCTTTCTTGAGCTCTAGTGACTTGCAATACACCGTGGAGGGGTCTTGATGAAAAAACCTCTGACGCAGTACTTTGCTCGTGAGAAAATATGTATACTGTAAGCTATGCGCATAAAAATACATTTTTTTTTTCGAAAATAGAACCCGATCACCCTTTATAAATATATATATATATATATATATATATATTTCCAAAGTTAAACTGAATTTTATAAAATCTCAAATAATGTACACACGGTAAGTCAAATGACTACAGAAGAGTGCTACCTAGCCAACTAGAGCACCTTCATACGATTAAGCTACATTTAGCTTTTCCTGAACAACCATCTTGGCTAAAGAAACATAAGGAGAACACAAATTACCATAAAAAATAAATTTACAAGTCTTTAGGTCAGAGACCAAGGCATATATGTCTGCAACAACAATATCAACATAACTAATAAAGGTGTTTTGGTTCTTGAGTTTTGAGGCTATTTTTCTGTCATCCACATAGCATATGAGATCATCAATATCTGCACCCTTTGCTTTCTCTAAAATCCACCTGATTGTCAGTAGCTTCCCTTCTTCCTTAGTACCTGTAAATTGTTTAGCCTCTGACCACTGTAAAATCAAAACACCTTCTGTGAGCACTCTACCTCCAAGTCCCAACCAGCATGAAGTGTTGGATAGAGCACTGACAGCTAAATGAGCGTGCCCTACTCCACACTGAGAATCGTCCACTTCAGACTTCTGTCCCCCATTGTCCTGCCTTTGATTTCCACTTCTTTCTACCACTATTGTCTTGCGAATGTCTGATGATTCAAGCCATTCCTCTTGAGCCTTTCTAGCAATAACAGTCTCTGGTGTCTAAACTTTTTCAAAAATTCAACCATTTCTAGACTTCCAAAGCTACCAGAGAAGGTAGCTTGAAAGACTTATTATGTCCACCAGTCCTGGGCTATTGCTATTAAAGCAAACCTCAAACCACCAGCTCTGGAAAGAAGCTTTGTGCACATCCAAGCAGTCCCACTAAATCCCAACGAGCTTCCAACAGGTTCTAGCTCTGGCACAGTTGAATAAAATATGTTCAAAGTCTTCATGCTCTTCCCCACACACAGGGCACCAAACATCACAATCCAGCTTTTTCTGCTTCAGCTTCACCCCTTTGCTTAGAAAGCCAAACCAACATCTCCAGAGAAAGTTCTTAATCTTGCCTTTGATAGGAAGTTTCCATGTATTTTTCCACTTCAAGTTGATAAGAGGACCTGCATGGCTAGATCCTGCTTCCTCCTGGGATCTCTTCTGCATTAGGCATTCATAGACAGATTTGACATAAAATTCTCCTTTGGGGTGCCAATGCCATACTATTCTATCCTTCTGGCCACTGTGACTCAAGGGTATCTTGAGAATTGCAGCTACACCAGTTGGACTAAAAATTTGGTGAATAAGTTCAGCATCCCATTCTTTTGTTTCTTGCACAATCAAATCTTCAACTATTTGCAATCTGTCCCTATCACTAGGGAATTGACATACATGGATGAAAGATGGCTGAGATGGTAGCCAACGATCACCCTTTATACGCTAGGGTGTCTTTTTTACCAAGTAGAATCCTATGTAGAAAAAAGATCTAACCATATCTTTTTCCGAGCTCATCACGTCACTAGAATCACATACTCCTTAGCGAGATACACTTTCCATCCTTGAATGATTATGTTTTCCATTACCATACGACATTTAGGTCCTTCGGCCGTCCGAACGACCTCGCAACCTACCTGCCGAGGAGATGCACAGAGAACCCCCAGAGGGAGTGCCAGAGGTAATATAGCGGAGCTAAGGGATCGAGTGAGTGGCGGAATTTTATTCGAATAGTTTATCTCCAACGACTTGAGTGAAGTTTGTCGGACCTCGCAACCTACCTGCCTGAGTAGATGCACAGAGAAGCCCCTGAGGGAGTGCTAGAGGTAATATAGCGGAGCTAAGAGATCGAGGAGATGCACAGAGAAGCCCCTGATGGAGTGCTAGAGGTAACATAGTGGAGCTAAGAGATCGAGTAAGTGACGGAATTTTCTGCGAATAGTTTATCTCCGATGACTTGAGTGAAGTTTGTCTCTACCGAGATGGCGGCAGATCGAGACGGCAGAGAGAGTGATGTCTAAGAGTTGCAAAGAATATAGTCATGCCTAGGGCTGCAAACGAGCCGAGCCGAGTTGAACATTGGCCTTATCGAACAGGATTGAATTTTTTTTTTTAGCTGCTCGAGCTCGAGCTCGATAAAAAAATACAATAGCTCGAGCTCGGCTCGAGTTCGATTGGAAAATTTTCAAACAATTTTGTCAAATTATATATATAGAAGGGATATTTTAGTAATTTATCATATATCTCGAGCCGCTCGCGAGCCGCTCGACAATATAAAATTTGGGCTCGAGCTCGACTCGAGTTCGGTCAAACTCGAGCTCGACTCGAGTTCGGTCAAACTCGAGCTCGAGCCGAGCTTTGACTCGAGCGCTCGCGAGCGGCTCGTGTGCAACCCTAGTCATGCCATTGGTTTTATTTGTTGTTTGGACTCATATCATCAGCATGCACATGACAATCTTGGGTTGAGGCCCTATAATCCTTTTACTCCACAACCTTCCCTTGCACTGGTACTGGTGGCCGCCACTAGATGGGATTCTTCGCCGGTCGGGGCTACCAGACCGTGGCATTAGATCTCAGAGACTTCACTGACACCTCTGATGCGACAGGATTCACCAACTTTTCTCAACACTAGTACACATGGCAGCCACCAGATGAGATTCTTCGCCGGTCGGGGCTACCGGGCTGTGGCACCGGATCTCTGGGGCTTCGCTCCGATGCACCAATCTCCAATTCGACAAGATTCACCTCACTCCCTATGGCCAACAACTTTATATGGAATTTTTAACAAAACCACTTTGATAATTTATCATGTTGATTTTTTTATTAAAACAGGTCAAAGTGTTTTTCCAATCAAATCACGATTTCAGGAGGTATTTTCGATGTAAGTGAAGTATGAATGGCGATTTGCAAAGTTTAAATGAAATGGAATGCAAAATTAGAATTTTAGCATAATTCGCGAGGGGAAATATATTAACTTCTACCTACACTTGTTTTGTAAAATGAGGTTGCAATGTCCAGATTTGAATACACCATCTTAAAAGTTTGTTTCAATTTCAAGTACCATGATCGTGTGAAAAGCACCATCACCTTACATAGCTAAAATACTGTACAAACATATATTACGCAGCTGATTGTTCAGATCAATACTACAGATACAGAGTACGCATTTTGTTACACTAATTAGTCGGATCGGAGATATTTACATGGCGTAGATGGGAAAATTTGGCACGGTCATCAAGACTAATACGTCAATAGGATCCTGAGTACAACAAGAACAGCAGCTACTCTGCCAAGTGTTCTAATATTATTACTCAACCACGGTGGATATCTTCAGCTGGTCAGAAGCTGCACATTTAAGCCCTAAAAATACATCAACACATCAAATACATGAATCCTACACACTTGAGTTGCATGCTACCATAAGTTGTTTTATCATTCAGGTCTCACAAAATGATGATGTATGGTGACGATAGCAGTAGTAGGTGGTGTTTATGTGCAAAATAAACGAATAATCCGAGCACAAAAGTACATGCTCACATGTGGACATGTATTCCGAATTCAGTAATCTTGGATTTGCATTGCTAATATTGATAAATATCTAATTATGATTTTATGAGAATAATAAGTCAGTCTAAATGCATACAGAAACAAACTTGTGGAGGTTGTGAGCATTACCAAGAATTTCAGTTTTTCCAAATATAAAAAGCAGTTTATGATATTTTTGTAAACAATAACTAAATTTGAAACAAATCAAATCTCGAGTCTTTGCAAACACAGTTTTTCAGAGAAAACAAAAGGAACAGAAAGAAAGCCAAGCAGTGAAGGTTCGTTTGGATTGGATTATGAAAACATTAGATGAAAAGAATGCCAAAACAAAATGCCTAATCCTTTCAGAAATTAGAATTCTAGCGTCTAGATTTTTATTCAATGAAGCAAAAGCCGATATGAGCAACTTAAAAAAATTTATTTTCAACTAAAAACCCTCACTACCAATAATGAACACACGAAAATTACCAAAATCATAACAAATTCCAGTGTAGACTATGTTTTTTATTTTCATTTACCTCTATTCTGAGGAAAAACGACAATCAATCATTCCCCTCCTTCATGACGCGCATGAATTTATCCATCCATTGCTGCTTAACAGCATCAGGAACCAATTTCCCATTGATAAAAGGGTTCCATTTATCTCCCTGTGGACTGGCCAAAACCCATCTGACCTCCATTGGTGGGTCCATAACAGATAAATCTTGTGTATTGTGCACAGGATCACAAACTTCTTTCTCCAAGTTCTGGAAAGAGGGATCAACAAAAAATAAGAGAGCCTTACTAATTTACCCTTTTTTTTTTTCTTTTCTCTCGAGGTAGATTATCAATTTTGAGTTGAACTTAGAATGATTTTCCAGCTGAAGAACCTTTGATGCATGGGGTTCATTGTCCTTTATTTCATCCAAACCCTTGAGCAAATGTGTACCTTCTTGGAACTCAGCCAAGTGCCTCTCGACCGCAACCAAGGATCGGAACTTTCGTCCAGTCCCAGGTTCATAGTAATACTGTGGAACATAGTGTAATTTTGCATTCAATTCTGTTGTTCAATTCACTAACTATAAAAAGAACTTATTCAAGGGGGATTAGTACAAAGCGCGCAAAGAAATGATCATCAAACTAAGCCAAACCGATTAAGAGAAAACACAAACTACGCTAACAAATGTAATTCATCAATTATATCTTGAGTGTAGCCAATGACATTGAATTGTATATATTTTGAAATAATAATAAGTAGATATGTTATTTGAAATTACCTTGTCTGTCCAGGTGCTGTATCTTCGAGGCACTTGCTCCACAATCCAACCATCAGGAAGAACAAAGGATGACATGTCATCTGACTTTCCATAAGGCACAATGGCCAAATGGTTCGGCCTCACCTCATCATCATCATCAGCTACTCTCCACATCTTTTTCGTATTAATTTCATCCACAAAAAGGGAAAGGAAAAAAAGTAAGAACTGCAGTGGGTAAAATAAATTATCAACAGAGATGGGACAGTTTCAAATTTCATCAGCATTCTTTTAATGTGTTTTATAGTGTTAGGTCTTCTCCACACAATAGTTTATACACCATTCAGGCAAAATTCAAATATATCAATTGAAACTACTTGAAATGTGATCGTGACAGATAATATTTCTTTGAACTTAGATAATTAAAGAACTTTTACCTTCCCACCATAAACAAGCCTCCTTTGGTGTTTTGCGTTCTGCAGGGAGAGAGAGAAAGAGAGAAAGAGAGAGACAGAGCATAAAAAATACAAAGTGCAGAAAAGCTAAGAGAAGGCAAATTACAAGAAGAAATATTAAATTTTCAGAAGAAATATGGAGAAGGAAGTCAACATTATAATGGGTTGATCTCCTGGTAGATCTTGTCCTGGAATATCCTTGTCCATTCAGATAGTCGAGAACCTCTCTTATTGACCTGAATTTTCTTCCAGTCCCCGGCTCATAGTAATACTGCACGAACAGAACCACCTTAATTTCATTGCCATAAAGAAAGAACAAAAAAGAAAAAAAAAAA